CTGGATGCGCAAACCCTGCCCTCCCCTCCCCCCCCCTCGCCTCACCACCAGCCGTTCGCCAACAAAGAACGCTCTTCCTCTTTCGGCGCCTTCCCTCTCCTTCCCCCTCCCCCCCCCCCCGCCCCCCCGCCCCCCGCCTTCCCCAGCTCCCCTCCCCTCCTTTCCCTCTATCTGGTTACATACGTTCGGGTCGGTCTCGTTTGTAGCAGCCATGGTGGTCTTGCTTATGGGCACAAGTCGAATGGCTGGTCGACTCGGCCGGTCTCTGGGAGTTTGGTTGTCGCCGTGTCGCTGTCGTAATCGTTGTTTGTGTTGTGGCAACGGAATGGTTTCGTCGCTGTCAGATGGCCAGTCGCTGTCAGTTGGCGACCAAGTCATCTTGCCCGCCAGTTGCCGAGTCGATGGCTGTGGTAGTGGTGGGCCAGGAGTCTCACGGCTTGCAGTTACATTTGCATAAAGGCTGAGGGCAGTGCAAAGTACTACGCTCGCAGACGGCCAGGGCGCAGGACAGGGGGATGGCTTGCTGACTATCGATGCCGACAAGGATGCGCCTGGGACTACCTCGGATCAAACGACGCCGAAGAGATTGAGACAATCGACTCAAGTCCACCCATGGAGCTCGTGCTGAGAGCGTCATCGTGGAGAGCCTTGCAATCGCTTTCAAACTCGGATAAAATGACCTCGGCGACAGCGGCCTCGGCGGCAGACCAGATGAAGCGGACAAAGTCGTCGTCTGGCGGATGGGTGTCGTTCGTCTCTTGCGAGGTGTTGGAAAAGAGCGAGGCGTTCGACGAGTTGGACTTGGGCGAGAGCGGCTGCGAGCTGCGCAGCGGAAGTGGGATGAAGAACCACCGCTTGAAAAGCATCGACCGGGTGTAGAACATGATCGACGGGTGCGCGACCGAGATGGAGACCAGGATCTGCGTCTGCGCCGTCGAGGTCGACCACGGCGTGAGTGATGCCCAGTTGGTCGACGACTTGATGACCTCGTCGACGCATGCGCCAATGGGATCGAGCTCGCGGAACGACGGCGAGGTCAGCTGCGCCTGCGGCCGCAGCTCCATGACAGCCTTTTCAAACACAGCCTTGAACGGGAGCTCGGGATCAAAGAGGATGGTCTTGGCATGCTCTTCGAGGGTGGCAATCTGATACGTGATGTCGAGCATCTTGCGCGACCGGTATGTGAGGATGACATCCGGCGGCGTCGAGCTGCCGAGCGGCGCGACCGAGGCTGATGGGCCGGCGCGGGTGGCCTGCGACGCCTGCATCTGTTCCAGCTCGTTTTGGAGCTCTTCTGAGACGGCGTTGGGCGGCGTTGGGGCCGTCGTGTACTGCGGCCGCAGGTTTTTCTGCGAGAGCGGTGCCGACCAGCCGGCCACCACGTTGGACCAAAACGCAACAAGTGAGCGACGCGCGTCCTTGCGCCACTCCTTGCGGAGGATGTTGTAGTTGGTCGCCGGCGCGCCAGGATGCAGCCGCTTGTGCATCATGAAACTTTGGGCGAGCGCGTGCGAGACGTCTATCGCCCCGACAAACTGTCCGGTGCCCGCCGAGACCAGGAATGCCATTCGCAGGTTTGGCGGCATAACCTCGGTGTGGCTATCGGGTGTCTTGCGCGAGTGGATCCAAAACCGCGTCAGCTGGATGAGTACAAGGTTCGACGCCGATCTTGCCACGTCCGGTACAGACATGGAGGTTGTCGAACCTTCGTCCGATTCGATGAGTGACAAGTCTGCAGGCGTCGCCTGTCTCCACGACAGGACAAACGACTCGTACTTATCGGTCGGCGTTGCCTTGGTCAGCGCCGATGTCGGCTCTACGTCGGTCTCGCCGAGAATCTGCGCGCTGATGTTGTCGATCTCCTCTTCCGACATGACATAGTTGTGGCCGGCTCGGAGCGACGGCGGAGACTGGCCCAGGAGCCCGATTGAGAACCGGTGCGAGAGCTCGAGGACTCTGAATGCGCCTGTCGTTCCCCAGCGGAACTTGGGCTGTCCGATCGGATGTGTACGCATCGGCGACTTTTGCCCGCTGCGGCTTTTGCTAAAGGAGTTGACTGAGGTAGCCGAGACACCGCGCGGGGACGGCGAGGCAGTCGATAGCCGCGACGCGGGCTCGCTCGGGCCATCGAACGAGCTACCTGCTGGATGTCGCGATGAGTCTTGCGCAGAGAGCCAGTCGCGCCCTGGCGTCGACGGACCACCTGGAGTTGCCTGCCCAGAGTTACTTGCCTGCAGTGGTCTTCCAGACATCGAGCCTGAGCCTGTTGCCGTCTGGGAGGATATGACCGCCTTTCTTGGCGATGGTCGTTCACCAGCCGAAGAGCGTGATGAGCCACAGCCCATGATGTGAAGGATATGAGAGGTGGAAGCTGGAGTGAACGGAGCCAGGAGGAAGGGAAGGGTTTGGGAGGGAGGGGGGGGGGGAGGGGAGGGGAGGGAGGGACGGAGGGGGAGTGAAGGCAAGTCCTGCTACAGTGCAGGTCGTTGCTAACACGGACGGATGGAAAGGTGGGAGGAATGTCTCTCTCTCGCTTCTCTCTCTCTGTGTGTGAGAGTGTTTGTGGTGTCCGCGGCAAAAGAGCGGCTGGCTACGCGTGGGAGTCGAAGTGAGCGTACGTTGGTTTTCTGCCTGACAGTAACAAACGATTGAGGACCAATGATTGTGACAGGGTGAACGAAGGGTAAGTTTTTTTCATTGGCGACTTGGTCAAGTGACCTGCGGAAGTGGCGGAGGAGCTGGTGTGGCGAGGTGGCGCGGGGGGGGGGGGGAGGGGAGGGAGGGGGGGGGGGGGACAAACGCACACAGGGTGAGTTTGCTTATGGTACTTGTACCTGCACTGTAGTGTTGAGCAACATGGTTGGGGGAAAGTGATTTACCTCAAGCTTTGTCCAAGCTGCTGCTGAGGCCGGCGATTAGTCGGCGGCAGAGGCAGGAAGGTAGCGGGCGTAAAAGTCGTTGCCCTTGGCGTCGATGACGACAAAGGCCGGAAAGTCCTCGACCTCGATCTTCCACACGGCCTCCATGCCGAGCTCCTCAAAGTCGACGACCTCGATGGACTTGATGTTGTCGCGAGCGAGGAGGGCGGCGGGGCCGCCGATGGAGCCGAGGTACACGCCGCCGTGCTTCTTGCAGGCGCGGCGGGCGGCGGCGGAGCGGTTGCCCTTGGCGAGGGTGATGAACGAGCCGCCAGCGGCCATGAACGGGTCGAGGTACGGGTCGAGGCGGACCGATGAGGTCGGGCCAAGCGAGCCGACGTTGTACCCGTCGGGTGTCTTGGCCGGGCCGGCGTAGTAGATCGGGTAGTCGCGGAAGTAGTCCGGGAGTGGCGTGCCGGCCTCGAGCTGCTCCTTGATGCGTGCGTGCGCAATGTCACGGGCCACAATGAGGGTGCCCGAGAGCGAGAGCCGAGTCTTGACTGGGTACTCGCCGAGCTTGGCCCGGACCTTGTCCATGCCTTCGTTGAGGTTGATGGGCACGACCTCGTCGGCAAGGTCGGACTCGACAACCTCGGGGAGGTACTGCGCCGGATCGGTCTCGAGCTCCTCGATGAACACACCATCCTTGGTGATCTTGCCGAGCGCCTGGCGGTCAGCCGAGCACGAGACGCCGACACCGACCGGGCACGACGCGCCGTGACGCGGAAGCCGGATGACCCGCACGTCGTGGCAAAAGTACTTGCCGCCAAACTGGGCGCCGATGCCGGCCACCTGGGTCAGCTTGTGGATCTTGGCCTCCATCTCGACGTCGCGGAACGCACGCCCAGTCGCGTCACCCGTCGTCGGCAGCGAGTCCAGGTACTTGGCCGAGGCCAGCTTGACCGTCTTGAGGTTCATCTCCGCCGAGAGGCCGCCGATGACAAATGCAAGATGGTACGGTGGGCACGCCGTCGTCCCGATGCCCTTGAACTTCTCCTCAAGGAACGGAATGAGGGTCTCCTCGTTGAGCAGCGCCTTGGTCTGCTGGTAGAGAAACGTCTTGTTTGCCGAGCCACCGCCCTTGGCCATAAACATAAAGTTGTACTCGGCGCCACCGGTGGCAAAGATGTCGATCTGTGCCGGGAGGTTGTTGCCGGTGTTGGTCTCGGTGTACATGTCGAGCGGCGCAACCTGCGAGTACCGCAGGTTCGTCTCGGTGTACGTCTTGTACACGCCCTCGGAGAGCGCGGCCTCGTCGTTGCCGTCGGTGAGAACGTGCGAGCCACGCTTGCCCATCACAATGGCAGTCCCGGTGTCCTGGCACCCGGGCAGAACCATCCCGGCCGCCACGTTGGCGTTTTCAGCAGCTGCAGTGCCACAAACCGATCGTTGTCCGACGCCTCGGGATCGTCCAGGATCGAGCTCAGTTGCTTGAGGTGCGCCGGCCGGAGGAGATGGGCAATGTCGCGCATGCCCGTCGACGCCAGCAGAGTCAGCGCCTCGGGCGCCACACGCAGGCCCTCGCGTCCGTCCGGAAACGTCACGCTCTCCACACCCTCGGTCGTCACAAGCTTGTACGGTGTCTCGACAGGGTTCTCCGCCTGGAACAGCGCCGAGTACTCAAAAGCCTTGCCCCCCCGGCACGCGCCGTTGCCGCCGTCGCCAGTCCCCGCATCGCCGCGGCCACCGGCACTCGCGCCGCGCTCCGTGCTACGCCAAACATAGTGAAACAAGAGGCTGTGTTCCTTCAAAAAAGCAGAGAAGTGTCTGCCTGTCTATGCCAAGGTGGGTGGGTGGGTGGGTGGTGGTGGTGATGGTGGTGGGTGGGGGGGGGGG